CTCGGATGAGTTAGAACATGGGTCATCTCGGATGAAAAAGGAGGTCACAGGAGCTAAAAATAGAAAAACCTTGTTAACACTCTAGCGGTCACATTTTTGCATCAGTCTTTATCAAACTTTGTCAAGATGTTTGTCTAGGTGATAGCTCGGATGAGTTGAACATGGGTCATCTCGGAATGAAAAAGTAGGTCACAGGAGCTAAAAATAGAAAAACTTGTTAACACTCTAGCGTTCACATTTTTGCATCAATCATCATCAAACTTGATCAAGATGCTTGTCTAGGTGATAGCTCAGATGAGTTCGAACATGGGTCATCTCGGATGAAAAACTAGGTCACAGGAGCTAAAAATAGAAAAACCTTGTTAACACTAGTGTCACAATTTTGACTCAATTGTCATCAAACTTGGTCAGAAAACTTGTCTAGGTCATTGCTGGAAATAAATCGAACATGGGACATCTCGGATGAAAAAACTAGGTCACAGGAGCTAAAAATAGAAAAATCTTGTTAACACTCTAGTGGCTACTGTTGTGATCCAAATATTCTGTTAATTGGTCTGAAAGTTTGTTTTGATGATTTCTAAGTCAAGATCGAACATGAGTCATCTTGGATGAAAAACTAGGTCACACCGCCCAAATATGGAAAAACCTTGTTAACATTCTAGTGGTCACATTTTCGACTCAATTATCATCAAACTTGGTCAGGATGCTTGTCTAGGTAATTGCTTGGATGAGTTCGAAATCGCATGTGAAACTAGGTCACCGGAGCTAAAAATAGAAAAATCTTGTTAACACTCTAGTTGCTACTGTTTTGATCCAAGTATCCTGGAAATTGGTCTGAAAGTTTGTTTTGATGATTTCTAGGTCAAGTTTGAATATGTGTCACCTGGGTAAAAAACTAGGTCGCACTGCTCAAATATGGATAATCCTTGTTAACACTGTAGTGGTCACATTTTTAGCTCGACTTTTCTATGAAAAGGGGAGCTATCCTACTCGCCCCGGCGTCGGCGTCGGCGTTGGCGTCACACCTTGGTTAAGTTTTTCGTACCACCCCACTTTATTTCAGAAGTATTACAAGTATGGCTTTGAAACTTACCATACTTGTTCACCATCATAACCTCCATCTACAGACAAGAGTACATAACTCTGTCAAGGTTTTTGACAGAATTATGGCCCTTTTTTGACTTAGAAAGTGTATTGAGCTTGGTTAAGTTTTTTGTACCACCTCACTTTATTTCAAAAACCATTGGAGGTATTGCTTTGAAACTGACGCATACTTGTTTACCATCACGACCTTCATCAACAGACAAGAGGACATAACTCTGTCAAGGTTTTTGACAGAATTATGCCCCTTTTTGACTTAGAAAATACATTGAATATGGGTAAAATCCACTTATTGCCTTAACCCTTTGAGATATTGCTTTGAAACTTTTAATGCTATTTCACATCATTACCCCCATCTGTACGCAAGAGAAGGTAACTCTGTCAAGGATTTGTTTTAAAAATTAAGGCCTTTTATCGACTTAGAATCTTGGTTAAGTTTTTAGTACCAGTCCACTTTTTGACTGAACTGTTTGAGATATTAATTTGAAAGTTGGAATACTTGTTTACCATCATGGTCCCAAAACATGGGCAGGAGAAGGTAATTCTGTTAAGGATTTTATTTGAATTATGGCCCTTTTTGACTTAGAAACTCAGTTAAGATTTTCATTCTTGTCCACTTGTTGACTTAACCATTTGAGATATTACTTTGGAAGTTGGAGTTCTTATGTGCCATCATGAGACCTATCTGTAAGCAAGAGAAGATAACTCTGTGAAAATGTTTCTTGATTTGTACTTAGAAATTCCTAGTTAAAGTCTTGTGTGCCCTTAACTGTCAAAGTTTTGTTTTATAGGCAAGCACTAAAAAAGTCGAGCGCGCTGTCCTTCTGACAGCTCTTGTTGACTCACCTGTCATGAGACTTGGTCAGAATGCTTGTCTAGGTAATTGTTTGGATGAGTTTGATAAGTCAGGTGAGTGATCTAGGGCCATCATGGCCCTCTTGTTATTATAAGCTCACCTGAGCTTGCTCAGGGTGAGCTATTAGGATCGGTGAATGTCCGTCGTCCGTCGTACGTCCACAATTGCTTGTGAACACACTAGTGGTCACACTTATGACACAATCATCATCAAACTTTGTCAGGATGCTTGTTTAGTTAATTGCTCGGATGAGTTCGAAACTGGGTCATTTCGGATGGAAAACTAGGTCAAAGGAGCTAAAAATAGAAAAACCTTGTGAACACTCTAGTGGTCACATTTTTGACCCAATCATCATCAACCTTTGTCAGAATGCTTGTTTAGATTATTGCTTGGATGAGTTCGAACATGGGTCATCTCCGATGAAAATCTAGGTCACAGGAGCTATAAATAGAAAAACCTTGTGAACCCTCTAGTGATCACATTTTTGAACCAATCATCATCAAACTTGGTCAGAATGCTTGTCTAGTCAATTGCTTGGATGAGTTTGAACATGGGTCATCTCTGATGAAAAACTAGGTCACAGGAGCTAAAATAGAAAAACCTTGTGAACACTCTAGTGGTCAAATTTTTGACCCAATCATCATCAAACTTTGTCAGGATGCTTGTTTAGATAATTGCGCATATAAGTTCGAATATGGGTCATCTCTGATGAAAAACTAGGTCACAGGAGCTATGAATAGAAAAACCTTGTGAACACTCTAGTGGTCACATTTTTTACCCAATCATCATCAAACTTAGTGTGGATGCTTGTCTAGTCAATTGCTCAGATGAGTTTGAATATGGGTCATCTCTGATGAAAAACTAGGTCACAGGAGCTAAAAATAGAAAAACCTTTTGAACACTAGTGGTCACATTTTTTACCTAATCATGATCAAACTTTGTCAGGATGCTTGTTTAGATAATTGCTTTGATGAGTTTGCACATGGTTTATCTCCGATGAAAAACTAGGTCACAGGAGCTATAAATAGAAAAACCTTGTGAACACTCTTGTGGTCACATTTTTGACCCAATTATTAAGAAACCTTGTCAGGATGCTTGTTTAGTCAATTGTTTGGATGAGTTCGAACATGGGTCATCTCGGGTGGAAAACTAGGTCACAGGAGCTAAAAATAGAAAAACCTTGCGAACAGTCTAGTGGTCACATTTTTGACCCAATCATCATCAAACTTTGTCAGAATGCTTGTCTAGTCGATACTTGGATAAGTTTGAACATGATTTATCTCGGATGGAAAACTAGGTCACAGGAGCTAAAAATAGAAAAACCTTGTGAACACTCTAGTGGTCACATTTTTGACCCAATCATTATCAAACTTTGTCAGGGTGCTTGTCTAGTTAATTGCTCAGATGAGTTCGAACATGGGTCATCTCTGATGAAAAACTAGGTCACAGGAGCTATAAATAGAAAAACCTTGTGAACACTCTAGTGATCACATTTTTGATTCAATCATTATCAAACTTTGTCAGAATGCTTTTATAGTCAATTGCTACGATGAGTTGGAACATGATTTATCTCAGATGGAAAACTAGGTCACAGGAGCTAAAAATAGAAAAACCTTGTGAACACCTTAGTGGTCACATTTTTGTCCCAATCATCATCAAACTTTGTCAGGATACTTGTCAAGTCAATTGCTCGGATGAATACGAAAATGGGTCATCTCTGAGGAGAAACTAGGTCACAGTTAGAAATAGAGAAATCTTGTGAACACTTTTATGGTCACATTTTTTTACTCAATCATCATCAATCTTTAAAAAACCCAGTCATATTCAGGTGAGCGATAAAGGGCCATTATGGCCCTCTTGTTATTATTATAATGGATAGGTATAGTTTTTGTAGCATCCGTCCGCCTGTCTGTCCTTCAGTCCAAACTCTTTGTTTGGTCTATAACTTTGATATTTAGAGATGGATTTTAAAACAATTTTGTTTAAATGTGTAACACATTGGGGCAGTGTCATGTACAAGATCTAGGTCTGAAGCTCAAAGGTCAAACTCGAAGGAAATTTTACTCAATCAGTAGATTTTAATTCAACCTTATGTATAGATTATAAATAAATATTGTTTAAACTAAAGGTCAAGGTCACACTTGTATTCCAAAATCAGTTTTTTCATAAAAAGTGCATCAATTCTGTCATTCCTAATGGATATGAAAATAATTTAGCATGTGCAAGACATGATGATGATGTGTCACACATAGGGGTCACACTTGTATGTCATGAATGTGAATAGATTGTCTTCTTTTGCACATAACTTTGTCATTCATGGATGGACTTTGAAATAATTATGCACAAATATGCTGCTTATTAAGATATATGTAATGAACAAAATTTAGCTCAGCAACCCAAAGGTCAAGTTCATATTTGAATGTCATTCCTGTATGTTTTTTTTTTAAATAACTGGGCTCCTTGAGAAAGTATTTGTAAATGTTTCTATATTCTATTACTCTTCATAGTAACCATGCCTTTGATTCAAGTCAAAGGTCATGGTACCTCTACTGGGCCCTGCTGCTTCCAACGGCAGTTCATGTTAATGCTTTTTAGTTTTCCCACAAACTTCAAAAGAGGTTTTTGTTTACAGAGAGGGAAATTTTTAAATAAATTTGCTTTTGGGGAATTTTGGCAATTTTCTTTTCACAATTTTAGCCCAAATGATTGCCATGTATAGTTGTATATTGTGTAAAACAAGACAGAAAGTCAGTTTTCAAGAGGAATAAATCCAAAATTTAAGTCTAGTTTTAAGTAACCTCCCTTAGTTTATATTTCTAATACCTTCGTGTTTATAATACTTTGGGGAAAAATTCTACAATGAATCAGATGTTAAATGACAAAATATTTGCTCTGTAGAGTCACACTCTATTGTACAACGTAAGGGAGGGAACATAGTTAAAATAGAAATATCACTTTTGAAATAAGTTATACAGGGCTTAGCCTTGGTGACAACTTTTAAAAACACAAAACAAAACACTTTGTGATAGCTTTTTTTTTTTCATTTTATTCTAACAAAATTATTTAAATTTGGCTTCAAGTTATTGCACTATTGGATATCTGTCATTTTAAAGTTATTTATTTTAATAAAAGATAATAAAAAAGCTGACATATGCAAAAACTTTTCTTTTGCTGCAAGTTTCTTTTCAAGAACATTTTATAGGAAACAGTCTCTTATAAAAATTATTTCTACAACTTAAAGAAACATGTGCTTGTAAAAAGGTTCTAATATTACTTATTAGCATAATAATTCAATTTGGTCCTTTGATAACTTAATATCATAGCATAATAAATTTTTATCAATAAAATTAAAGCATTCACTTAAATCCATTTAAATCCACTATATCCTTGACTTTTTTCTACGGAATGTTTCTTTTGGGAAAATCCCCCAAAACAACCACCTTCTGAACAAAAAACATAGCTTATGTCCTTTGAAAACACTGATTTTGTAGTGTCGCCATGGGGATGTGGTCATACAGAGGGATTAAACTCCATTTTGTCTGTTTATCACAGTATAGTAGTTTTATACTCCCCGATGTGTCACATTGATTCTTTCAGCAAGAAATAGAGATCAGCAAAGAACAAGATAGTTCCAAGTGTGAGACCAGCTATCAGTTGCTGAAATATGTAAGAAAAAAGAAACAAAACTGTAGTCAACACACACAAACACTCAATTGTTGATTAAAGAGTACTTGTAAATAAAAAGTTTAACAATACAAAGATCTGCCTTTTTTTGCTGGGGATTCTTTTAACTTTCAGCCAGCTGCTATTTAGTGAGTATAAACTCTTTTATTTCCCCTAAAAATGAAGGGTATTGAAAGATGATTAATCATCTGAATTTTGCTTTATTAATCTATCATATCTTTGGTTATGCCCAGATCGATCATCAAAATTTAATGCTGAATTTCTCATATTTTTGGTTTTTCCCACCTAACTGGATTTCCTGGATAACTTACCAGTAATAATATTTTCTTGCCATGAGACCATTAACAAGAGACTCAACACTGTCAGAAGAGGATTGAACTAGTGACTCCTGGTTACAATTCTGATGCTCTCACTATTGCGTTAAGCAGGCAAACAATACAAAAATCAAAAATCAATATGACATAAAAGGTGCTTACCAATGCAAACACATTACTGTATCCACCAAATGTATATTGACTAGCCTTGTAACCAAAAGCAAATGCACCGCCCACAGTTATTATAAAGTTAAAGACAGAAACCATCTGTCTATTCATCTCTTTCACTGAAACAAAAAATACAACTTAATTAATTTGGGTCATTATAACCAAGGTCTAAGTGCCTATTTTTTCTAGATTTAAACAAAAATGGTATATAGTTGGTACACTTTTGTTGGAAGTTGAAATATTTAAACCAAAAGACATTGTTTTAAAAAATGTCTCTATTTTCTTACATTAAAACATTAAAAAATTGGCACACACAAAAAATGTAGATGCAAAATTTTCTAGATAACAGAAATTTTAAAAACCAAATTTTAATATGAAAATGCATTTGATTGTTTGATATAATGAAATATATCATATCCTGGTAAAATCTATTCTTGAGCCTTGAATACAAATGCCAGATAAGATATTTCAGAAACAGTTTTGTAAGGAATTGCTACAGTACTCTCTTTATGGGAATGGCTTTTATTGCCTATTAAGTAAAATAAAACAATAAAGTGTTGAACTGACTGTTCAAAAAAAAATATATTAGTGCAAGAATATAATTTTACCATCTTTGCCAGCAGAAAAGTAGTCTTTTTTCTGAAAATACAAAACACAATGTCAGAGAATATGTCTAGCCTTCTGAACAAATTTTGACCTGAAAACATTCTCGGAGTACCTCAATACATAACATCCAAAATTCAACAAAGTTTGCATATCTGCACACCAAGTAATTTAACTCTTTCCATTTAAAATAGGTCATCTTTTAAGAGATAATCATTTATGTAATAACTAAAAAAGAGCATTCATCTTCTCTCTTATATCATAATATTAATTACCATAATTTAAGGGGAGCGGTGGCCTAGTGGCTAAGGTGTCTGCATCTCAACCCAGGGATCATGGGTTCAAGCCTTACTCGGGGCATGATCATGTTTCCTCATATGACACCAGAACCCGTTATTTCCAGGTAGCGGACTCGAAAATGATTAATTAAAGTGGCAAAAACTTGTTTCCCAATTGCACTAAAACAAATATGTTTAAACTAGGCATAATTTAGTATAATAAATTAAGGATGTTTCTACACAGATATAACTGAATAAAAACTTACTGAATGGTCTACATTTTTCACCATCTCATGGTACTTTTTATTGTCAAGCTGTGCCTGAAGTTTCTTACATCTTGCTTCAAGCTCAGGATTCTGTGAAACAAAATAGTTGCATACTGTTATTTTGAATTTTGCTTCACATAGTAAAAAAACACCACAAAAATCAAAAATACCAAATAAATGAAATAAAATTAGCACTATTTGATCTGTTTAGCAGTGGTTTTCTCACTTAATTGGGAAGATGCCTTGGCCTCTTGATTTCCGGTAGAAGTAAAAATTAATCACTTCAAAAGTAAAATAGTTCATGTAAGTTTGAAAAATTCCACAATTTAAAAGAAGCTTTTATAGGCCTCTGATATATGCCTCTGATATATAATGTGAAATATTATTGGTAAAAGACATACAGTTTTCAACTTTTACTTTTCAGTTGGAGGCAGGCACCTTAGTAGAACTTTTTGTACTTTTAATGGTTATGTGGATAATTTCTTCATAATTCCATGAAAACATCAACAATTTAAGCCTAACAAATGATATCAAAAATTCTTAAGCATCTTATGCGCCTACCAATAAACAAATGATAATTGATAAACAAGTCAAAAGCAGCCTATCAGCAACCTCAGCCTCTTAACTCCATTTTCTTACAGTTTTAAATATCATGCAATAATATTCATCCTGTTAAAATCTATTGTATACTATAACTTTAGTAATAGGATCATAATTATGCTAATCGATAAAAAGCCAAAGGAATAGTGCAAATTTTACAACAACTTGTATTTGAGATAACAAAATTTTTAATGACAAAAAAGTTTTCACATTGTTATATGATATCATTTTGCTGACCCTATAAGAACTAAATTTGTTTGATGCTTCTGAAGTGTACAACTGAACTGACTGTCTGATAGTATAAAGTAATGATAAAACTAATGTGTTCATTAAACTTCTGGCGTTTTAGCGGCTAAAGAATCTTCCCGTGCAACTAGTGCATACCAGGTTTAGCTAGGGTGCTCTGTCAGCTATTCATTCAATCAGTATATATTTTGGATTTTTTCAAAAATAAGGTAAATTTATGGATTTGTCCAGATTGAAACAGAAAGATAGACAAGTCAATTTAAGATATTTTACACAGTATTTAAAAATTCTTGGACTACACATGAAATTTAACTTTACTAGAGAAGATACAATATTACCCTTGGAATAGGTTTTAACTCTGGTATATGAAGATCACTTCCTTCCAACAGCTCATGCAAATAAATCTTCTTTCCACCTGAAATATAGAAATTTCATTACCAATTACTCTTACAATACTGCATGTTTGTAATATTGCTTTTCTTTGGTTAAGCATGATCTTTATATTATCTAAATTTCTGAAATAACTTATCAATTCTTTATAAATAGGCTTGGCAGCAACTTCAAAGTATACAAAGTAACTGATATGCAACATAAAGAAATATATCATGAATAAAGCTTCTGTTTTACAACTAAACTAGAAATGTGTCATCATGCCACGGATGCCCCCGCATGCAGCCAAAATTTCAGATGGTGCATTAATTATTTTTTTCATTTTAAGTTCAAAGCCCTTAAAACTTTTCAATGTTAACACAAACCATTTCCATACAATGTTCAAGGCACTGAAATTATTCAGTCTTAACCTTTTAGAAATAGCATATTGCATATTTGCAGCCAAAATAATGGCTAAAAGAATGAGTGGTGAAACTGAAAGTTCAAAATTTTTCCAACATTCAGGAAAGATAAGTTTGTCTAAAATCATTGAAACCATGACCAAATTCCAACTTAAACTGCTTATTCCTAAGATGTATCTATATTATTTTCAAAGTGAAAGAGACAAACTCTGCCAAAAAAATCATACAACCATGACCAAATTCCAACTTGACCTGCCCATTCCTTGACATATCCATATGTCAAATTAAAGTTGAATATGTGACACTGTTGGGTAGATAATGAACAGAAACTGTAAATTTCATATTATTTTCAAAGTGAAAGGGGCATTACTCTGCAAAAATCATTGAACCATTGACCAAATTTGAAGTTGACCTGAGCATTCCAAAAACATTTCCATATGTCCCAAATTTGAGTTGAATGTGTTGTACCATTGGGGAAGATAATAAACGGGAAACTGAAAATTTCATATTACTTTCAAGTGAAAGGGCATAACTCTGCCAAAAATCATTGAACCATGACCAAATTTAGAACTTGACCGCCGCATTTCCTTTGACGCATCCATATGTCACGTTTTGAGGTTGAATGTGTTGTAACCTTGAGGGAATAATGAATGGAAAAACTGAAATTTCATAATTATTTTCAAAGTAAAAGGGGCATAACTCTGCCCAAAATCATCGAACCATGACCAAATTTCGAACTGACCTGTATTTTTTCATGACATATCAAATATGTCAAAGTTTGAGTTGATTGTGTTGTACCCATGGGGAAGCATAATGAACGGAAACTGGAAAATTTCATATTTTTCAAAGTAAAAGGGGGCATAAAATTCTGCCCAAAAAATCATTGAACCATAACCAAATTCGAACTTGACGCTGTTATTTTCTCAGACATATCCATATGTCAAATTTGTAAATTTGAATGTGATCCAACCGTTCTTAAAGATAAATGAACGGAAACTGAAATTTTCATAATTTATTTAAAAAAAAAAGGGGCTAATCTGCAAAATAAACGAAATGCACCAAATTGAACTTGACTGTTTTTTCATTACATATCCATAGTCAAATTGAGTTGAAATTGCCCAAAACGTTTTAAAGATAATGAACGGAAACTGATTTATGCGGAATGACGCGAATGAAAAGGACGGAAGGGACGGAAGGAGGAGGACGAAGAAGGACGAGGACGGAGGAGGAATGACGGAAACGGGTAACACTATATGCCCCGGTTTTACATGCGGGGGCATAAAAAAAACATGTTTTACTAGACAAATTGCTCAAAGCCTTTCCTTTTTATAATCTTTATATAAAAAACTTGATCAGTCCATTCGATTGATATACCTGTAAATCATAAAAAAAATTGTTTAGTATACTAATTTTACTGGTTTTAGAACAAATCTTGTTTGAAAAGGTTGAAATTTGCTTAACCTAAAACAATTTAATTTACATTTTGCACGATATATTTTAATTTATGAAGCAATCTTTTCAAATATTATTATCAATATTAGTGATAAGACATAATATAAAGGTCTTGAAAAGAATAGGATTCTTTATTCTATTTCCAACTAACAATTGACGAAAGCTAGAGTTTAAATCAAAATATTAATTGTTTTATTAGAAAAATGCAAAATTAAGTTCATCGCGTCATAACATTATGTTAAAACCATTGTTACATACAAAAGGATTGTTAAAAATCTTACACCAGATGACTTATATTTTATATTTCTTTTATTTTTGTACAGCATTTACTAACGACCAACTATGCACATAACTAAATAGGTTGCCCATAGGCGACTGGAAGAAGAGTAACGCAAGATTCCGTTTTCCTGTTATCTTATGCCCAAATTTGGGAAATCAATTATTTGAAAACACCAAAGCATACATGACGTAATCAAATACTGTAAATTTGATTAATATACATGCAGAATCACTAATTTTAATGATTAATTAAGTTTGAAATTTGTACAAACACTTATCCAAACTTTGAATATAACCTTTGGAGAACCCACAGCGTTAACTGCACCTGTCAATCAATTAAAATTGAAAGCAAATAAGTACTGCATATATTTATCATATCCGTACAATAAACTTCCTGTCACCTGATTTTGACAAAACATCGTAGACTTCTTTAACAACACGAAAAGGTATGGCTTCTTCGTCTTTGTATAAATTTAACTCTTTTAACAAATCACTACCGATATTTTGGTTTGCTAGAAGTGCATCTATTTCGTCTGAAATTCGTTTAGTCTTTAAAATTTCAGGCTCCAATATTTGTTTCTCCATTCCGGAAACTGCAATGGACCATTTGATTATTTTGAGAAGGGGATTATTGTAAATATATTTTTTTATGCTATAAAATAAACGTAAAATGAACACACGATTGAATTTATTTTCATTTATTAAAAGTATACATCATACTCCAAATGTATCTATTTGTGTATGTTCACTTCATTTATACAACAACAAAATTGTGTTAGTATATTTTAAATTTACTACCACATAAATTGAAATGAGATTAGCCCGACGACTCTAGGTCATAAATGAGGTTAACCGTGAGAATAAGTGGGTTGTGAAAATTATTGAACTGAAAAGAACGTTATCCACTGTTTCAAAATATCGTTAAATGACATTTCAGTAAAAGTTACGAAAGCAAGGTAATTTATTTTTTTGAAAATTCTTGGTGATATGTGAATTTTCTCTTGGAAGACACATTTAAGTCTTCCTATTGTGCAATCAAGAGAGGCAATCTATTTTTATAATTATGTTTCTTTTGTCAGAGTTATCTTTCTTTGAATATTAACTGAATCACTTCCAGCTGGAACTTAAATTGATCGTTAGTTCCAGCTATCGTTTGTAGCATGTCAGGTTACATTTAACTGGTCTTGCACAGAAAACTTACTTTTCGAACTGCCCATTAGTATATTTTTTTACAGTAGAAGGGAGACAATCCTTTTTAAATTCCAGATTGTAGTTGTTTCCCTTGAAATAAGGTATACTTGTATTTGGAGAGAGAGAGTGAGACTAACAAAGTTTTGGAGCTCCACACTAAATACCATATTTTTGTATATCCCGGACATGGTGCTTGAATGATTAAATACTTAAATATTGCCTTTCACACAACAGTATGAACTTTAAAATGTCCAATTCATCTCTTCACACCAATTTATATATATACAATAATGAATAAAAAATGTAAGAATCATTTTTCTACTTTGTGATCATGATTTCTGCAAGCGTCTATAGGTACTGCTCCAACACTGTTATGAGTTAAATCCATTTGGAGATACCTTGTAATACTAACAAATCTATTAACTATTCAATTAAAGTTCATTTCTCAAGTTTCAGAAATGTGCCTGTTATTTGTTTACGTGAATGAGAACCCAGAGGAGAATGGTTACAAGTTGATCCTTGCAAGTAATCGAGACGAGTTCTGGCCAAGGCCAACAGATACAGCTAAATTCAGGGATGACTCAAAATGGATGGGAGGTACATGTAGTGTAATGAGAAATATGTTGTAGAAAAAAAAAGAAAATTTCACTTTTGAGTATATGTCTATATGTAAAATGGGTAGAAAATGTTTATTATATACACTGTGCCTATGTTATTGTAAAGTAGGAATGTGTTATAAGAATGGTTTCATCCCAATAATAAGGAAAGGGCCCTTTTTACACATTAAATACCATTGATGTTTTTTTTCTCCAAGTTTGTATTTTAAGATTTGAATTTTTGTTTGGGTATTTTCATAAAATGTGCTCACCTGACAGACATTTCATAATTTTACATCAGATTAAAATCTATATAAACCACAGGCGCTAGTCACATAATCAAATATTTTACATAACCGTTCTACGTATATATGTATATAAAGATATATCTTATTATAGTATATAGCCCATTTAAAACTTTAAAAAGTTTGTTTCAAGCACCTGTGATATAAACCTGGCTGAACACATTCAGAAATAATATTTAAATCTCAAAACCTGTATAATACTAATGTAATGATTTAACAACTTTACATACATGTTACGGTAAGTAATTTTGATATTGTTTGAATGTGTATTTCATTTCAGTCAATAATATGTGAACAGTTTTACAAATTTTAACTAGAATAAGATAACAGTAAAGAACCACATTTTATCCACTCCATCAACTGGTTTTCAAATGATTTAATGTGTTGCCTCTACGGAGTAGTGGCGACATATAGGGATCACTTCTCCATTGTCTGTCTGTCAGTCCGTACGTCTGTCCATCCGTCACAAAACTTGTCCGGACTACTCCTCATAAACTACTGGTGCAATTTCATCCAAACTTTACAGGAATGATCAGTACCAAGTCTAGTTGTGCATATTGTCAGCATTTTCCGGTTCAATGATTTTTGTCAGAGTTATGGCCCTTTAATAATTTTTATTTTTAAAGTTTGTCCAGACTACTTCTCTTATACCACTAATGCAATTTCAATGAAACTTTACAGGATTGATCTGTAGCTCAAGTCCTTGCGCATATTGCATGGTTTCTGGTTTAATGATTTTTTGCCGAGTTATGGCCCTTTGATAAAAAGGTGTTTTTTTCTGTGTGTTGCCAGATACACAAAAGCTTGTCCGGACTAATCCTCATAAACTACTGGTGCAATTTTATCCAAACTTTACAGGAATGATTAGTACCAAGTGTAGTTGTGCACTGTCTGTCTGTCTGTCCGTCTGTCACAAAACTTGTCCCAACATGAAATTGGCCATCATGAGGGGACACATGTGATCATTGATTGCTCTTGTCTATAGAATAACCACTGTAGAACAACGTCCTTTGGGAGACAAACATTTTGTTTGTTGCTTAGAGTGAGGTGTTGCCCTACAGAGGTAAATTATAAAGTGAAAATCTTTACTTTGGGAAGAAATAATATGGTTGTTATAAAGAGGTAATTGCTCTACAAAGGGCCACTTTGCAGAGGCTATACATTTCATTGGATCTTAATTTTGCTCCTTATCTTTAATATTACAATAGGTGCTGATTTGGAGCCTGGAAGAGAGGGAGGGTCATGGCTAGGTATTTCTACATCAGGAAAGATTGGAGTTCTTCTTAATGTTCTAGCTAAACAGAGACTAGATGCTAAAGGCAGAGGTAAAAATTGACAATGTTTTCCTTTTTGCAAAAAAAAGGTAGACTGAAGATTTATTTTATGAGTTTATATCCGTATATTGTATTGAATAATGTAAGAAATATTTTAGATATTATGATGCCTTTCAAGGAATTCTTTCTAGAGTATTTGCAATGCTCGCTTGAAGTAGATCAGGGTCCTGGGTAGATATCCAGCAGGTTTCTTTACAGAAAGTCTGAGGTCAATGGTCCTACCCTTGTGCCTGCTTTTGCCTTAACTGGTAACCTGCTTAAACCTAATGTGATTAGTATTTGTTTATACTTTAAAACAAAATTGCAATGCCTCTTTCATGGTTGGTAATAATAATTAATATGTACATATACCCAGTACTTGCAAAAGGCATTCAAAATTCAAATCCATAAATTCGAGTTCAAATGAAAGATTCATAATTTAAAGGAAATTTAATTACATTTGTAGTACATATAATGTAGTAAGAACCACATGAAACTCATAGAACACATTTTCAAGATTGTTTATACATGTACTTTCACTTCAGGGTCACTGGTTCGGGATTTCCTAAGGGGAGATGAATCTTGTGAAGAATATTTAGACAGAATTTCTTTATCTTCATCAGAATATAATCCATTTCATCTTATTCTTCTAGATCTCAGGTACATCCCTTGACTTAATCAATGCTAATTTTCATGAAAATTTTGAAAATGTATTGAAAAGTAAATTATTGTGAAATGAACAAAGAAAATAGCTTTCAAACTGCAAATGGCACTCGCAGCCCATTAAAAAAATACCCAAAAAGGGGTCAAAATATGCAAAATTTGTCCTTACTGTGTTAGTTATGCAATAGAAAGATTGAGAAAAATACTGCAAAATTGGTCATAAATGGCATGAATATTATTACTTTTATCTTGAGACTTTTTACTTTTCTTAAAATCTCTGTACTTTTTATCAAGTAAGATTTTCTTGAAATATTTTGGCTCATTTGGAGGTATGCAGATTTCAAGAATTTGCAATTTAAGCTGTTGTATCCAAAAATACCTCTATATACATGTAGTATAAAAAACAGTTTTTATTCAATATAAAGGGTATATTCAATAGAATTTCAAGTTTCTTTGAGACAATAAATATTTCATGGTAAATAAATAAAAATTTAATTACAAACTTGTAGTATTTTAATGATTGTTAAGAGAGAAGTTATATATACAAATGTATACTTACAGGGATGATTGCAGCTATCAAAAGCTTGATAAAATGTCTCGGGAAAATTTATTTAAAAGTGAAGAAAACCCCCAAGGTTTAAAGTAAAATTAATTTACCATTTGTTCCCTTTTAATTTTTAAATTGGACTTGCCCAGCTACCATTTTTGGGGGAATTTAAGGTTTTTAAATCAATTATGGAATTAAAATTTAAAGTTGGTCTGTGAACAATTTAAAAAAGCCCTGGTCAAAATTCAAAAGATTGTAGCTGCCCTTGGGTTTCTAAAATTAAAGTGAAAAAGGGTAATTTTTTCATTTCAAAAATTTAAAAGGTTAAAAATTACTGTTGTTTCTGTTTGTTTTGAAGGGTAGTAAACATTAAATTTTTTAGGTTATATTTTTGATAATTTAAAAGGGGAAAATAACATTACATGTTTTTTAAAAAATTTTTGGAAAACCTTGGGAGTTTTTTGGTATTTCTTTGTCTTTTTTTTTATGTCGATTTTTTTTTTTTGGAAAAAAAAAGTAAAAGGTTTTGGTTAAAAAAGGTCAGGCCGGGTTCCCGTTGCCGCCCCGTTCCCGTTCCCCGTCCCAAACTTGAACCTGGATAAATAAAACTTTTTTTTTTTGGGTGTTTGTTTTCCCATTTTGGGGCCCAAAATTGGAAAGCCCTTTCAGTAGCCCAAAACAACCTTTTATTAATAAATATTGCCCTTTCCCAAGGGGTTAAAAAGTTTTTCTTTTTTTCCCTTGTTTATGCTGTTTTGGGTTTGTTATTTGTTATTTTTGAATGGATTGTTTTAAAAACTTGAACATAAAACCTTCAAGGATATACCCCTTAAAAAAAAACCCACCCAGATTAAACCAATTCACTCCATCTGCCCCATGACTTTGAAATAAAATTATTGAAATTTCCATTTTTTTTGGCTTTTAAATTGGCGAAAAATTTGGGTTATTTTTTAAATGGTTTTTTAAAAATTGAAATAATAATCTTAAAAGATAAAGGTTAAAAATATACTGAAAGACCTTAAACCTTAAACTCATTAATGAAAATTGCCTTTAAAAGGCCCAAAAAAATTAGAAATTTTTCATTGTTTTGGCTTTGTTAAATTTGCAAATTTTTGAAGGGATAAACTTAAATATTAAAAAACAAAACATTAAAAAAGGAAGCCCTTTTTGTTTATCAAACCAAATTTGAAAATTGGTTTTAAATGACCTTGCCCTTTGGGAAGGTTATATTACTAAATTTTTCAGTTTGTGCATTTATTGGGTTGGAAAGAATTTTAAAATGTTTATATATAATATTTAATATAATGTGTGTGTGAAATTTAAAACAAAATATTAAAATATTTTTAAAAAAAAAAAAATTAAAGGGGGGAAGGGGGGCAAGGAAAACGTCGAGGAAAAACCGGTTTCTTAATGACAACAAAAAATTGTGCACTACAGCGATTTAAGGGAAGTAAACCCCCTTATTGGGTATACATACAAATGAAAACACGGAAAATGCTTTTTATGGTTTAGGTTTTTAAGTGTATTTTTTGGGAAAAAACCAAAAAAAGTTTTTTATGAGGGAAAAGGAGGAGTTAAAGAAAAGTGCCCAAATAAAAGTAATAATTTAAAAAAAAAACAAAACATTTTTTTATTAATCAAAAAAAAAGAATTGAAAAATTTTAAAAACCGTTGGAAAATTTTAACACTGACTTTTACAGTTTTGTACTCAAAAGTAGTACGAACTGTATTTTCCACAGAAACCCCAAGACTATATCTTTAAATAAAAAAAATTTTAAATGCAAACGTACATGGTGTTTTAATAGAATATTTTTTAAAAGGTTGTTTGATCTAATTAGTTTAATTATGTATTGTACAGTATTCAGTGGGGGTTTCCCAAATTGCTTTCTTTATTTTATGGGCTAATCTAAATTTAGGTTGCAAAAATCACCCGGGCCAAGTTACATTAAATCTTTTTCATAATTCATTTGAATATGTTTTATAAATTTTTTAAGAAATCCCAACAAAAAAAAATATTTCCACATCAGGGAATAAAAAAAAAAGTTTTTTTTTTAGATTTAAAATTTGTTTTTTTATTGTTTAAATTTTAGAAAGGTTTAAGAATTGTTTAAGGGGAATAGCTCATGGATAATCCCTTCCCTAAAATTTCCAAGAAAAAAGTTGGGTACCCTGGCTAAATCCCCCAAATTTTTTTTAATCTGTTTTTTTCTTTATTTTTTTTGTAAATTCATAAATTTTCGGGAAAATCCCCCCAAACCGGTTTTTTTTGGGAGAACACCTATAAAAACTCAAAAAACAGATTTTTCGAGGATACTAAACTTTGATTTTTTAGACGGGGAAAAAATTGAACAAAATGTAACAAACGAACTGATGGGACCCCTTTCCAATTTCTTCGCAAAAAGGAAATAAAAAATTTGTAATAAAAGGAAAAGAACAATAATTAGCAATAATTATAAAATAATTTAAACAAATATCTCCCATGCTTGGAATTTTTTCCAACCCGTATTTTTTAAAAGTTTTAAAAGTTTTAAAAAGGTTGTTTTTTAATTGGGACGATATAAATGATTCCAAATAAACCGTAATTTAAAAAACCGGGTTTAAAAACCCCTTCCAAAATTTTTTTTTTTATTTGGGAAAAATTTTAAAATTTTAAATTTTTAAAAAGGAAACGTGATTATATAAAAAGTGCAAAAGGGCGTAGTTTTGCCACAACGTGACTGGGAAGGGAAAAATTTTGTCCATCTTACGTTTACCCCGAATTTTTTTTATTTTGTAGAAAAATTTTTCAATATATAAGGGGACAAGATGTTTAATATATAAAAACTCCCAATTTTATAAAAATCAAAAAATATATCGTACTAAAAGGGAATACAAATAACATTTCACCAAACCCAAACTTGTAAACTCATAAAAAGGAAACAGTTAAAATAAAAAGTCTCGCGAAAAAATGTTTTGGGTTTAAAAGAAAATAAATCCAAGTGTTTAAACATTTTGGGGTTTTTAAACTAATCATTTTTCCCAAGTTTTTTAAACACAGTTTAAATTTTCAAATTTTTTTTTTTTAACGGGTTTTCCCTAAAATTTTTTTTTCTCTAAGTTAAAAAAAAAAAACCTTTTAATTTTTGGGGTGTATGATGTGTAATTTTTTACTTTTGGGACTAATATTTTAAAAAAGCATTCGTTAAAATTTTAGCGCTGGTTGTTTTTGGTTAAGAAAAATACAAAAAAATTTTTGTATCTTTAAAACACTGTAATTGTTAAAAAAAAATTTCAAATCGCAGCAGGAAATTTAAAGGTTTTTCCCAAAAATTAAAAAAAAAAAAATAATTTTTTTTTTAAGGACACCGCGGTTTTTGGTTAGTTTTACGGGGTTCGGACATCAAAAGAAAAAAATTCCGGTGGAAATAAAATTTGGGAAACACTTCAACACCCGGGCCCCAAATTTTAAAAAGAGATTTCATCTACAACCAACAGCCTGTATGTTCCCCCAAGTTGTCATGGCGAAAAAAGGGGAAACCCGTTCTAGAGGGTTTTTTTAAACCAAAATTATTTTTTAAAATAACAAAAATTTTACTTTTTTAAAATGCTTTGTTAAAACTCAAATCCAAAACTCAAAAATATTTTAAAAAATAAAAAATTTTAAAGGGGTTAATTTTCTTTTTTTTGTGTACAAAAAAGATTTTTTTTTCTTCGATTTAGTTTAACTTTATATTATGAAAAATGTAGATACGGAAAATAAATGACCCTTAAAGGGGTAATAAGTTTTATCTGTTAAAAAAACTTAAAAAAATTTTAAAGTAGGGGCCGAGGGGTTTAAGGGTTTCGTTGACTTAAAAACCATTTGCCCTCCCCGCTTGGGTTAAATAAAAAACAGGGATTTTGGGGAAATTTTTTTCATGTAAAGGAAAAAGCATCCAGCAAACTTCCGGAATTTTTTTTCCGTGGTTCTACTCGGTTTCCCCGTTGGCCTGAAAAAAATCAGGGAAGGGGCACCTGGGGGCTTTCCCCCACCATTTAAAGCGGGAAAACGGGGAATATACCTATATTTGTGTCGAGTGACGTAAAACCCAAAAAAAAATAATAAAATTTAAAAAAAGAAAAAAAAAAAAAACATAAAAAAATGGTTCTGTAATCACATATTAATAAAAATTGTTTTTAACATAGAATGTCCCCCATTTATTTTTCGTGATAGCAAAAAATTTTTTGGGGGCAAAATATTATGCAAAAAGGGTTTGCAACAATACCCCTAATACATTTTAAATTTGAAATTTAAATTTTTTTTAAATTAGTTTTATATGTACGGATAGTCTTATTTTCAAAAAAAAAATTTTTTTAAAACATTTACAGTTGGAAATCGTCATGTAAATTTTTATTGTTACTCAAAAAACGTCCAAGCTTTTCCCCGTTTTTTTTAAAACTTCCCGGGAAGTTGTGAATGTGCCCGAAAAATTTTTTTTTTAAATTTTTTAAAGCATATGGGAAAATATGTTTGGCTTTTTTTCATTACGGATATTGAAAATTTTAAAATTTTTAAAATTTAATAAAAAAATTTTTCCGGGTTCCAACAACACAAAACGGGTGGGGTTTAGGGGAAAAAATAAAAACCTGAAGGCGAGGAATATTTTTTAAAGTTTTAAAAAAGAACACGGTTTCGGTTTTTTTCATGGTCGTCCCAAAGCGTTATTCGCATGGGGAATGTAAAAAAAGGGTTAATTGGGTGTTTCGTCTGTCGGGACAGTTTCATATCATCCATGTTTAAAAGGGGGTGCACTGTTAAAAAACAGTAAGTCCCAGTTTTTAAATATCCAAAAACTGATTGTTTTTTAAATTAGGGCCATTTTTAACTTTTTAAAAAGAAAACGAAAAAGAAAAAGAAACTTTTTTTTTTTAATTTGTTTTTTTTTAAAATTTAAAACCCGTAGATTAAAATTTTTTTTGTTGTTTTAAATTTTTTTTTTGGTATTTACCTAAAACTTTGTCTCATTTAATCTATGTAAACCCGGGCATACAAAAAACCCACCAAACACCTGTCCCTTCCCCTTCAATAAATATTTTTTTTTTTAAAGGAAAAATTCCCTTTTAAAAAATGCGAATAATTT